TTTGTTGAAAAATATTGAAAAATATCTGTCATTTCAAAGTTTTGGGGTGTGGACCATCGGGGGTAGTCCGTTCCTGACTTTGTAGCAAAACAACTGACTCCTGCATGAAAGCTCATCGAAGGAATTCATTTGTTTAGTCAATTACCAAAATTTGGATGATTTTGAATATTCACTTGAAAAGTTATCAAAGAAAAACATTTTTCATTTTGTAACTTCGAGGGCCCGTTACTTGGTAACGAAGGATTTTAGGAAAAAAAGTTATATGAAGTACTGGTGATATTTTGACCCCATCTATACATTCCCGAGAGGAAAAGAGGAAGTCCTGGGACACCCTGTATATATATATATATAGGCGACTTCAACAACGCGCGTTGTATTTTATTATTAGCACATAACTTAAACAGTTTTGAAATGATCAAAATGTGTCATGAAAAGGACTCAGAAATATTATAATAACTATTATTCAAAAGATACAACTTCAGATTTTGTTTGAAAACTTTACACTAGTCATAACTTTTGGCAGTCGGTTATAAATTTTCATTGACAAATAAAAAAAAGAAATAATAAAAAGTTCGCCCCCAAAGAACGACAACTCTCAAAATTTTAAATTTGTGCGACCTAAGTTCTGACGAGGTCTTACCTTTCAATGTGTGATTCTTAACAAGAGTTGGATGATAAGAAGTGAAAATCGGTCGTCCGTCCTTGCGGTTAGAACCACTGGTTCACACAGCGGTTGACTGAGTGAGTAAAGCAAACCACCAACGTCAACCCACCAAACTACCGTCCCACCATTACATTACATCTATATAAAGGTGAGTAAGAACTGTCGCATTCATGGTTTTTATTATGAAGATGTATTTGTGAGTTCACCGTAAATTTATTTTACAATAAACCTTTTTACAGGACTTTGTTTTTGTTATTCCCGCAATCACTCTCATAATTCTTTTTTTGTGCTATAATTTAAAATTTAAATTTAAAAAATGTTGATGAAATGTTCATATGCATCATTCATGTTTGTGATGATGGATTATTGCCATTGCACCAGCAAATAATGCAGTGTTGTGTTTGTTGATACTGCATAATATGTAACTCGATCAGGAATCCGGAGTTAGCGTCCAGATTAAAATCACTTGCAATACTCATTTGATACCTCAGTTAAATATTTCTTCAAAAACATTATAAATATTGTCGTGAAAATAATTAACATCACCATCATGAGCCATGTAGCAAGCTAAAACTCCCAGTTTACTTCCGTCAGGGGATTTACAAGAAATTCATGTCGAGTTTCGTTATTTACATATTATTTTAAATTCAATTACGGAGCACTCAAGTTATCAGCTTGTAGTAGTTATATCAATGAATCTAATAGCTAAATTTTTAGATGATTCAAAGAGTGCATATTCAAACAGCAATTTTTCACCAATAGTTAATTAGGAGAAAACATTAATTCATTGTTGGGTCCGTCGGGCTGCACTTCTAAAAAAACCTAGTAATGCACGGTCCTGCCGGCCAGAGTGTTCGGTTCATAGCTTTTCAAAAGTTCTCCACATTAATAGTAACTTCGAATGATGAGTAAACGTTTGGTGGTGAGGGGTCACACACCTCCTCAGGAAAGAAAACTTTCAGCATGTTATTTAGGCCGTCAGACGAGGTAATGTGCTCGCTCACTCGCTCGACTCGTGAACGTGTAAGCAAGCTTGCCGGGGTACTTCCTTTATAGTGGAAAAAGATGTTAACAAATCTGAAATCTATGAACGAAAAATAAAAAATTAATGAAACATTGAAAATACCGAAATATTTGAATGTCAATCGAAAAATGTATGTTCTGATATATTATTCAACTATTGGTCACTGCTTACGAACCCTCAGAAGTCGAAACTTGTACCATTTTGGCAAAATGAAGATATCGAAAGTACAGTTCTGGGAAAACTTCTTGATCAAACCAATTGAGTTGTAGAATGAATAAATACATTATATTGTCTTGATATTTTTTTTCTAATTCTAATTTTTTTCAGAATTCGCCTTAAAAATAAACAATCAAGAAATAATTGGCGGCCAATCTACTGAGTTCGTATCATTCGAAGTAAATTCTTTGGAATGTGGTTTGATACAGCAAACATATGTCACCCATGTGTCATTATTAATTGGCAGCATTGGATTGCAGTTGCATAGACATGAACAAGTGATAGAGATTATTAAAACTCCTTCGTCTGGTAAAGTAAAAGAGTGTTTATTCAAGGCCATATATTTTCAGGTGGGTATTTGAATGTGACTTACTAACATAACTCATACAAATATAATATGAGACGTCTAGTTGCAAAACCACAAAATTTTTGATGCGGATACTAATATAAAAATTTGTTTTATCAATATTTCTTTTTGGGAACTGCAAAATTGTCTACAATATTTTTATACGTTATAAAAGTTCGTAAAAATATCTGGGAAAGGTGAGATTATATCATCAAAATATCTTCTGACGAAATGACTAATATATTCTGAATCGTTCAAGATTTCAGTTATTTGGTCAAATCTCTGCAATAAATATTTATTGACTCACTATGTACAATCATTAATCGAATAATCCAAATTCATGTAGTCTAATATTACCCGATATCAAAAAATGAATTTATTGTAACTGCTCCATTCAATTTACTTCTAATTTAACCCCTAAATCATTAAATATTTTTCGGGACATTACGTATATTATAAGTTACAAAGAAACTACAAAAGATTTTCATCATTTTATTCCAAAATTATTTCCAAGCGTCGACGCTTGGGAGTGGGCAGGCCCCGGGGTCAAAAGCCTTGCAGCATGACATTACTTGGGAAGTAGGCAGATTGAGACCTCAGTATAATGATAGCTTTCTGAAAATGTTTTCAAAGTCGAAATATCGAAGAAATATTTCAATATTAACATTTGTTTACAAAAAGAATTTGAAGTTTTAGTAACATTTACTTATTATATTGTATTTCTTGGACTTTGTCAATAAGATGCAAATCTTCAGATAATAAAGTATATATTTTGATATGCGAGCACTTTCGATAGCAGACTGTGCTATTGCCTTCAAGGTTCTACTCAAACTGAACGTTTTATCTTCTTGTTTGTTCTTTTATACGGTTAGAACGCCTTAGTTTAGGTATTTGTCCAGGTAATATCCTTTGTGTTGGAGTTTCACTAGTTTCATTGTTTATCATCAGGAGCAACTTTCTTCTCGGTTTTACAACCGCCTGCACAAACAAAACCACAGTCGTGAAGGCATAAGTACAAGGCACACTGTTTACAGAAGTACTTTGTAGTCTTCTTTTTTTTGTTTGGAGACATGGGCACCAACGATTTCGAGAATTCGTTTCGAATGAATGAGTTTCCACAGAATTTCATCTCGCAGTATGATCAGGAGGTTTGGGTAGAATTTCCTGAAGCCTCATACGTATTGTGAGTGGTAAATTTGGCACCAACATTCGCCTCGCTAACTGGTCTTCAATAAGTTTCACCCCAAACTGCCTCAGGAAAAGGCGGCGGCACCAAGTGATCATCTTCAATAGGAAGAAACAGTTTGATCTTCCTCTTGGAGATGATCATCTGGTGATCGAAACACGTGTCGAGGTGTTAAAATAATGGTCCAGTAATATTCAAACAGCATGAGGTTGGAGAAGGTATTGCAGTTGGCGACAAGAAACATGAGAACTCTTTCCTGTTGAAGCTTTCGAGACTTCATTGGTTTTTTAGGAACTCTATAGTACATGAGATATGATATAATAACAATTGCAAAATAAGTGAAAGCAGTACTTATAATATGAAGCCAGTATGAAAATTCATGTTTTCCTTGATGAATCATTAAATCAGAAGGATGTAATAACACTCGTAAAATTTCAACCCATTGAAAAAACCGTGAATAGTTAAAACGAAGAGATGACCCAAAAAAATTCGTAGACTTTTTTGAAGTACAGCTCCAAGTCAACTGTCAATTGTTTTGTCAAAATTTATAATACAGCATTCAACTCCTCTCCTAAATAATTGTGTTGACCAGTGTAATGCAGCATTCAGCTACATTTCTGAATTTTGTTGATCAGTATATATACGCTATATCCGTTCAAGATGGCTGAAGGTATTGAACCGGTAGTTCACATATTGGTAACCAATGGATCTTGCTACACACCCCTAAAGTAACTTCAGTTAGAGGCTTGGCATCAGGATAAGAATGTACCCAATATCACTAGACAGTTACAACAGTTTTGTGTCTTTAGCGTAATGAGCTGGACACGCGAAAGAATACCGTTACATGTTACCGAGTGTAGATCTGTAGTACTCTCAAGGGCTTGAGTCATTCCGTTGCGTTCTGTTTGAGATGGACGGAGGTGTCCCTTGTGGCTCTGGCAGCGAGTTGTGGATGGCGATTAGAGGCGCCTTTGAAACGTGTTGATCTTAAGGTTCCTTGAAGGGAGTGCAGAACCGCCCATTTGTTGTCGGTCCATCCATCCTGGAAAATCATACTGTGTTAAAAGCCCGGCGAGTCTACGTCAGGACAATCGTCGTTCTGAAAACCTACGAATCTGACGACTCTTCCTTTTTCTTTCCGGAACTTGAAGGGAAACCACATTACAAATATAAAATACACAAATTTTGCCCATTAAACATGAAACTCAAAATAGATGGATGCATATCTCAGAGAGACTGCTTGTATCACCTAATTAATTCATACTGACACTTCAAAATATTTCACAATATTCTTGTTGAAGCAAGAAAACTGTTATGCATGAGAATCAAACTTACGTAATGTCCAGTGACGGCTCGTGCATTGGAGAACAGGGGAGGCTAAAGTCATATAGACTATAAACACAAAGTCATATAGACTATAAATACAAAGAAGAGCCCGCCGGAGGCGTGAAAATTTTTATGTTGTTGCACGCTTTGCTTAATACTTAAGTTCATAGGTTTGTGCAATTAACTTTTGCCTAAAATCATAGGTGTCGAATTGAAAAATTAAACAAATCGTCAGCTTTGTGCCCAGATGAAACATCATGAAAACCCATAAAACGTTCTATCACATTACCATCTTTGACATATCATATGACACTTCATATGACACTTTCAATCTTCTTGCTTATATTTTCCTTAATAATATATGCCACACTGTTTGGATGGTTTTTGAGGTGTCCGAAAAAACGATACCGTTCAAAAAATTACCAAATTGTGAATCATATTTGTCCCATATCACGAGGTAAATTTTTTAAATCGGAGTATCCTATTTTAGACCACGATTGGTATTCGGTTTGTACGGAAAATAAAACAGGGCCAACAAAAAATTTTTTCTCGTTTAATGGAGCCGGTTAACCAATCGCATTTATTGTACCAACTAATATTAAATCCTCGATTTTGTCGATTTGGTTGAGGCCATCCCAGAGTTTTGATAATGTAAAATTTATTATCATAAGATAAAGACTTGAAATTATTTGTCATTAACCAATCGACGATATCGTCAGATTTTTTAATTTCGTCCAACTTATCCATAATAAATGAAAAAAAACAAACGCAGTCGTAGACTAACGGAGACTGAAGACTAGCCTCCTCTAACGCTATAATTTCCGCAACTAAAATTACAAATCGGGACGTATGTCTCCGGTTGGTTCGGTTTCGCGGAGCTTGTGTCTTTCAAAGCGGTCGGAGGCTTGGTTCCCTTGCAACGTATGGCATTTATTTTTTCGGGTTGATGATTTATTCGTTATTCGTTCATGGGCGGTGCGTTTGAAGTTTATTGATGCAGGTTACAGTGTGGTACGTACTACGAAGTGAGTGATAGTGTTTTTTCGGGCATATTATGTATTTATATTAAAAATTAATGGTAAACTAATGATACCCAAGCATTTTTAAGAAAAAAGTAATCATAATTATTTGTCAATATCTTTTAATTTTTTGCCATGAACAGCCTCAAATTTTATGGGGAGGCTAAGCCTCCCTTGCCTCCTCTGACGAGCCGCCGCTGGTGGAGGCCAAAAACACTCTTGCCATAAGGAAAATCAACTGTTTAAATGGATTAATAGAGACGGTTCATTGTTTCGTCTAGTGGCATCGTTTTTTTACTCAAATAGTATGTTTTTTTTATTGAATAGACATCACGAACACTAATCTCTAAATTAATAGAGACGGTTCATCAATTCGTCTAGTGGCATCATTTTTTCTCAATTAGTATGGCTCTTTTTATTGAATAGACTGCACAAACGGTAATCTCTAAATAGAGATGGATCATTAAATCACAATGACATGATGAGTTTGCCAATTTGAATTTTGTTGAATATAGGGATGGGGTAATGGCATAGGAAGGATAGAAGACATATAAAATCTAAGGTTATGACGTGTGCTTTTTAGAGGGAGAGATTCTCCTTTTCAGTTGATCTACTTACCTTAAGACATTAAGGTTCGTGGATTGAATAATTTCCATTATATCATACAAAAAGGCAGAACCATTTTCTGTTTATTTTATGTTCTAACAGCAGAATAATCGCTTTCCAAACTATTGGAAGCACTTCATTAGTTTTCTCAAATGACTCCTTCTTTATTAGAATAGGTGATTGTTGATTTATTCGAAATATGCAACCAAATCGTTACAAAACTGTGTGAAAGCAGCTGATTTTCATTTTTACCATGAAAACGGCTGATTTTGTGATCGTTTGTAATTTTATTTATCAGTTCTTCGACTTCTTGAAACCGTATGGTATGGAGGTGTTGTCAGACTAAAATTGACGTTATAGACATATAGGTTTGTTCTTTTTGGTGAGATCAACGGTAATGAACTTGTGTCAGGAAGATCTTCCTCTTGAAGATGATCACTTGGTGATCGAAACACGTGGCAAGGTGTTAAAATAACGGTTTGGTGTTGGGAAAATCTTCAATAATATTCATTAAGTAATAGAGCCGAGTTTACTTCGCATTTGACACGTCTGAAGAAGATGATATATTGAAAATGATAGCAACCTCTAAAAAGAGTCGTTCGTAAGGGGGCGATAGTGGAAAACAGATTTTAAACAGATTCCACCTTTTACTAATTCCAGAATCCAACAGATTAGTGTCAAAAATTTCGAGCAATTTTTCTATATTCTATGACTGTATATGCTGAATTTTGCTGAATTTTCTAAATAACGTTCTACATTTCTATCTCAAGAATATCGTATGAATTTCAAGTTAGGAAATATAAACCTTATCCAGAAAGTAGTGCATAGCTCAAAGTGCAGGTGATTAATCAGAATCAGAATAAACCA